AAAAAAAATGGTAGGTGGGTGATGAATCCCATTGGACAGATTGGGTCCCACATAGTGGACTGCCATTTGTTTCAAATCAATTAAAGTTGAAAGAGAGTGATAGCTGGATATGGCGATGCATAAACCAGACCCCATGAAAGAAAGCAACGGCCTTTTTGGAATAACTTATTTATATCAAGACAAAATATTGTTATCATCACGTATATATAGCCGTTAATCATGGAATTTTGTGTTCATATCTAACAAATACTTTAATTTANGCTTGCAACAAAGCCAATTCCACCTTACGGGGAATCGAACTCTGCACACTACCGCGCTGAGCCCTAACCGCCCTCCCCTTTGCCACTGGGAGATATGCCCTGGGGGCAACAAATACTTTAATTTACATGCTACTTTTTCACGTCTAAGTTCAAAAAAATTCGACTACGTTAAGAAAATAATAGAAATTTTTTTCGATTCATCAGTCTTACAATTTGCAATGAATCATCGTGATTGGTTGGTTGTCATTAATAACACGCTAAAAAAGATTGTAACAGATCCAATATCGGTCAACACTTCAACTTAGGAAGCAATAACACAGAAAGAAAAATAGCAATTAGAAAGATTGAAACCTTCGCTCTCTAAGAAGCACTATAATATAAAAAATTGAATTAATTTTTTGCGATTACTTCTATTATTATATTCACAAGTTCATCGGTCGAAAGATTATTAAAAAAAATTAATTTTTTTAGTATTTTTTTTATGAGTATTCGATAAAAGATTGATAATTGATATAATAAATATTACTTTAAATTTTTATAATTTATAGATCACCATGACTTAATGAAAAATAATGAACAAATATTTAATTAAATAGTTTATAAACTTTTGAATAGTTTTATAATTTCCATTTAATAAAGCTCTGGAGAAGAATATTTCAAAGAAATTGCAAGCCGCGCCCCTTTTGGAAACTGTTGCTTAGTTGGATAATTAAATCCTGACGTGACTTTGTAGTCAATGGTTGAACGTGACCGGCGCGCGGTTGTTCCGTTGCAGTTGCATTGAATCTTCATATATTTTGTTATTTGAAAATAATGTAAAGTCCAGTTTATTTAAAAAAAAAAGAATTTTTCAAGTTTTTTTAATTCATATATCTTTTCGATAAATTAATTTTGTGTGTGCATTCATAATTTTTAACTTTTAATCATTAATTTCACTTAAAATAATCTCTCTTATCCAAAAACTCATATATTGTCTAATTCATATTCGGCTCATGATTATACGAAAGATCTATCAGTGTTACTCATTTATACAAAATTTGTTTCTATCTATTTATAATTTCAATCGTATATAAGCACTCCTCGAACATACTTATTTTTGTAAAATTTTTATTGTTGCGGCAAATATCGTGAGTCTAAATAATGCAATTTAAAAGTGGTGCAATAATAAAGAAAAAAATTGGGACTAGTGATGATAATATAACTATCCTTTTAATTTAAAATATAAGCTGAATTTGGAGTTTTTTAAACTCAAATTTTGATATTTCATAAAATCGCTTAAAAAATCGATTATTTGTCAACAAACATTTTTTGCTGCAGCTAAACAACCATTATTTTTTTAAAAAAAAATATTGCTTTACTCTCCAAATATAGAGCTTTTAGCCAATCATAGAAACATCCCAAACACATTCAACCAAAAAAAAACAAAAAAAATCATCCGTAGTTTTCTTAATATTTCTCGTCATTTTTAGGGGTTAAATCAAATAGAATGAAAGTTCCACTACCTCCAGTGTAATATTTCTTTTTCTTTTGTATTCTTTCCTTTTTATTTTCTCTCTCCGTATTCATCCTTCTACTAAAAATAGAAAAATAATTAACTTTTTAATAGACTTTTATACAAATACCATTCAATAGGACTACATCTGATGAATCCATAAAAGATGGAGGACGAACTTTCTTTTTCTTAATGGTTGAGGACCGATGGTGCAATTTTCCTGCACTCGTGTTCTTTAATTTTGATCAGTTGAGTAAACAATGATGACCAAAAATTTAATAAGAAAAGTTATTGAATCTAAAAATAATAAATAACAAAAAATATTTTGATGTTTGGACAAATATGCGTAATGGACTAAAAAGAAGAGAGAGAGAAATATATAGAAGATGAAACATCCATTTGGTGGGTGAATTTAATCAGTGTTTACCCAACTTTACTTTACATTACATCACTACTTGCTCATCGAACAATAAAAGATAACACGTTGCTCATTCATCTATCAAATTACTTATCCGTTCATCACCTTCATCTAACGAATGTGCCACTTGACGAACCAAAATTAAATGTGGCACATCACGAATGTGAAACTAGGCCAAATGGGCCAAAAGCGCAAAAAGCAAGGCTTTGACAATTTATGTTCTTTGTTCAATTAGTAGGACACGTTTTCTCTAAAAACAAATTGAGTGTCTAGAGAAAACGATTTGAACAAAGAACAAAAATTGTCATGGTCTTTTTGTGCTTTTGGCCTGATTCCACATATGTGACGTGCCACGTTGGATTTTTCGTTCGTCATTTGGCACATTTCGTTAGTTGAGGGTAATGGAAATCAAACGAGTGATGAATGGATAAGTAATTGGATAGATGTGTAAGCAACGTGTTATCTTTTATTGTTCGATGAGCTAATAATAATATAAAGTAAAGTTGGGTGTGTATTGATTAAATATATTCTCTATTTGGTAGACAAACATCTCGAAGGGCAAAGGTACATGTGTATTCCGAACAACAGTTCCTTTTGGGGTGCATTTTAACGAATTTATGGATAATTTGGAACAAACACTTTATTAAAAAATTGGAAACAACAATAAAATGAAATACGAAGAAAAATAATCAAGTTATTAATAGAGGAAATTACACCCCGCCTTACTTTTAAATTACAATTTTCATAAATCCCGATTCAAGTTTCATATTGCAAAATTCAGGTTTTAATTATTAATTTAATAATATATATTTTTTATTTTTATATCTATTTACAATAAATTAATTTATATAATACTCCCCTACCGGGCCTACCCTATCTACCCCAACCAAACTCTAAATCAATTGAACACATCTCCTCTCCTCTCAACCCATTTCTTCTCCCGTCTCTATAATCAACGCGGTCGTCGCCGCTTCTTCCCTTCCTCTCCCTCACTCGTCTTCACTCTCCTCTCGTCTCTTCTGTCTGGGCTCTATCACTGGCCGACGCTGTTGTGCGAGGGTTGTGCGATGGCGATTTCCCAGGCGGCTCCCTTCTCCTCCTCTTTTCCCCTCTTCTCTCTCCAGGTCATTCCCATCACCGCCTCCACCCCTTTTTCTCTCTCTCTTCCCCCGAAAGAAATGGCCATCCCAGACGCTTCATTCGTTGCCAGATCTGAATCGCGGCGGTGGTGATTGGGTTATTTTTGTGCTGTGGTGGTTGGGTTATTTTTGTGCAGTGGTCATCCGATATGGGACGGTGGCGGGCTGCGCGTCATTGTCGGGATCCGCACCGCCGTTGAACACTGCTGCAATCTTAGGTACGATTCTTAGCCACTGTTGGTGTGGCTGTGGGTTTGGTATTTTTTTATTCCATTTTTTTGGTGGTCTTTGCGTTGTGGTGGTGATTTGT